ATTATATAAATATTTTGCGGGTCTCTGCTAGTTACATAATATTATATAAATATTTTGCGGGTCTCTGCTAGTTACATAATATTATATAAATATTTTTCGGGTCTCTGCTAGTTACATAATATTATATAAATATTTTGCGGGTCTCTGCTAGTTACATAATATTATATAAATGCTTTGCGGATCTCTGCTAGTTACATAATATTATATAAATATTTTTCGGGAATATTATGTAACTAGCAGAGAATATAAATGTTTTGCGGGTCTCTACTAGTTACATAATACTATATAAATGTTTGGATATAATATTATGTAACTAGCAGAGACCCGAAATATTTTGCGAATCTCTGCTAGTTACATAATATTATATAAATGTTTTGCGGGTCTCTGCTAGTTACATAATATTATATAAATGTTGTTGGAAAGAAATTTACCACACAACTTCTGTGAAATCACAGTAAATAGAATATAAAATAGTAACTTCTCACTCAAAAAATAAACACTTACATCGACAACTTGGTGGAAACTGGCTATAAAAGCTACTGCCAAGACAGGTTCTAGTGTTAGGTCCCACCAACAGGTGGCCTGGATCGCACATATACTCCACCACAGATCCCACCTTGAAATTCTTCACACTCAGTGTGGAGTTGGGTGGTCTCTCGGGGTGACCACAAGTCTGGGGTCCTGTTTAATGATAGAACTGCATCACCAAAATTTAATTTATATTTTAACATTATCTTATAGTACACTGTTTCCACAAGAAAGACTTTTTTGCACTTCCAGATATCTGTACTTAGCTTTCCATTCACCAAGTAAATATAACAATCTTCTAACTATGTATATATATATGAAATTATTAAAGTCTAATTTAACTAATTTAAAAAAATATTCGTTCATCACAAGACATATGATGTATTTCAAACAGAGTTCTAACAAGTCGTTAATAGACGTTGATCGTGTACAAATTTCAGTTATTGCTAACGAATGGTAATGACTTACTATGTTGGCAGATAAAGTTCAAGATCAGATTACAATCTACATCAGTCCAAAGCCAGCCTTTACTTCCATCAAATGCTGAGCAATTCTGGTTGGTTCCTGGTTGATTCCAGAAAGATACAGTTACGTCCCGACCTAGAATTTAAAAACATCGGGTGAGATTACCTGCAAGCGATAGTGGGCTTTTCCAAAGACGCCCAGCCCAACTACTGTTTGGCCCACAGAAGTATATCACACAAATCCGTTATACAAAGTGGGAATTTAAAAAATATATATATATTTTTGTTTCCAGACATAAAAAAATTGTTATAGCTTAAACTATTTAAAATGCCGTGATTGTTTTTGAGTTGCTATGTTTAATCAGTCCCATTGAGTTGAAAGTTTGGACATCCCTGCTCCAAGCTAAGACCTATAACAGGTATTAACAAATGATAGTAAATTCAACCAAAACAACTTCAATTGCCCTTGCAACTCACCATTAACCCACTTCCAGTTGTTGGGGTTTCGTGGGTCTCGAATGGCACCCATCCAATACTGACTTGCGGAGCGACTTCTGTGCCGACGATACAGCTCCCAACTCAAAAACCCTTGCAGTGCTGGACTTGTCTCGTCTACCAATGTTCCTCCGCGGACATCGCAGAACTCACGTGCTTGTTCAAAAGTCTTTGGTTGATTATCATAGAAAATATAACACTTTCCACCGTACGTAGAAGTGCCTCCTAGTGGCTGGTCCCTCAACGACGGACATCTCTCAATAGGGAGTGCTTTAAAGGCGAAATAACGATAAACTTTCAGTTTAATAAATAAACTTAGTATTCCGAAAATTGTTTAATCTCGAAGTCTAAGTTCAAGGGAGGTCCAGTTTAATCTACACTTTGATCAACGTGTGTTATTGGATTATACTAGTTTCGGAGAATTCCACTCCTCATCAGTAACCCTGAACACAATTTAACCAAAGAAAGATAAGCTGGACCTATATCATAGTGAAAAGTATCAAACATACTGTAACTATTGTGCGACTATATAATGTGAAGAACTAAATATAGCACATAAGACTTTTTTCTTCACCTGTCCAGTGTATAGGTTTCTCTCATAGTGACTACAAAGTACGTTCACACCGACAGTATGTTTGAAAATTTCAGGCTTCTCAAAAAATCAAATTTCAAAGCTAATTGCGCTTAAAATGTGTAAAATCTTATTATAATTTACGAAAAATATTTGCAAAAAATAATAAATAAAAACTTCACACCCGGATACTGTGAAAGAATGCTGAGTTTTCTGTGATTAGCGCCACCTGTTCAACAATTTATAAAGATTACAATCAAACCTTCGCTATTCCTACATAATGATAATAACGCAAATGTTTCTTTTCTATTGTTGTTCCCACGTATTATTTTAAACAATTATGTAATATGAAGAAGTGAGATTATCTCAGTGAAAGGACACCAAAAACAAACATCAAATTCTGACCAAATTTGTCAAATGATTACAGGAGTGTCTTTATCAAGTAATAATTATAAAAATAAACACTCTGACTTCTCGTGTGCTCCTACTAAATTTATATTTAAGGCCCAAAGGAAGGGAAAAAATATAACGTACTAATTTTAAAAAACAAACAAAAAGTTGAGTATACCAAAATTTTATATAGAACACTCATTAACATTAATCAAGTTAAGCAGTGTTATCTACAAATGTTGTAAAGATTAACAGCTTTATAAACACAAATTAAGTAATGAAGATGATTACTCCACTAGTTGCGTCATCATCAAGGGGTAGACTGTATACACTTATGTAGCTCTTCATCTTTACAACATTTATATGTATAAATCTGCATTTATTTAACATTTTTATCCCGAACATCTTTTTGTATTTACAATAATATAGCTTTCTATTAATGATTTCCTCGAACAAATGTCTCTTCCTAACTAATTATATTCCCGTTTTAAAAATCATTAATAGAAAGCTATATCACCATGGTAACGTTGTGCTTCGAACAAATGTCTCTTCCTAACTAATTATATTCCTGTTTTAACACAACGTTACCATGGTGATATAGCTAGACTTTACCTGTATCTGAGTACACAAAAATTTCGCAGATCGACAATGGCTGACCTCGTGGTTTCTCCAGATGAACACTTACAAAGGCACCTGGCACGGATGTGACACAAGGCAGGTACAGTGGTCGTCCCTCCTCTAGAAATACAAGCTTTCTTTTAACAAAGAACTGGGCCAAAACCGAATTAGCATAGCTAAAGAAACTTGGTAGCGAATATTTAACAATTGTTTCTAACAATGTAGCTTACCAATGGATCCCGTAAATCTGTTACAAATAGGATTCACACCAAGATCAGGTCGATTGTTACCGACTCGAACCACAATCGTTGCTTCTCGTCCATTTGCTGAAAAAAGAAAAAATTAACCCTCACTGTAAATGGTGTTTTCGACTCAAGCGACACCTTACGCTGCACGTAAGTTAAACGGCCAGGTCAGAGTGGCCAGAATAAGGGCAATCATTCAGCAGCGCTCTCCGCCTATGCTGTTACTCTTAAGCGAATGGCGGGGTTAAAACACCCCACATATTGCGGCTCGAGCTTTAGGTCTTCGGACCAGCAGCCCAACATTTTAACCCCCATGTCATGTCTAGCCCTCATTGTGAGAATTTTAAATAATCAACTGTCTATTAATTCAGTTATAAAAGACACCATATACGTTTCTAATAAGGGGAAATTAAAAAAAAAGACATCTAAATGCTGGTTCATAACAGATACGAGAAAGACTGTAACCAAGTAAACCATAAACAACCATGTAACTTAGCGGTTAATCCATTAGTATACAGTATTTAATACAATAAAAAATCCTTTAAGGAGATTGTTACAAACGTGTTGCAGTAATGTGGGATGGTTTCAACTTCTTAACCTGCGAAAGGACAAGATAAAATCTTGTTCTGATCTGCTCTCAATGATTGATCTCATCATTAACAGACATTGCATTGCACATAAGTAAATAGAAGTCTTCGAAAAAAATATTTGAAAAATAAGTCATTCCAAAATCAAACTGCACCGACAAAATCGTATATATAAAAATTGAATGCAAGTGTTTGTAAAAACTTACAGCAACAAGTCATTCCAAAATCAACTCGCACTAACTGAATCGTATACGTTTCCAGTAAGTTGACATACCACCAGGGTGCTCTTTCCTTCTCGGCTTTTGTCATGGTGCATGTGCGAACATTAAATAAAGGACTTGTGCTTCCATCAACAGCTTTTTCTGGTCCACCACTGCCACCTACAGAAGACTGCATTGGTGCTTTACCGGCAGCCACGTTGAGAACTGAAACATAAGGTTAGCTATTACAAAATGTCAATCTTTCAAATCTTTAAACGATGCATAATTGACGATACAAATATTAACCACAGAAAAGTAACAAAAAAATGTTTTTAACGGTTATTTTTTATACTAACTTCTTGAGGACTTAGTAGTCAAATATGTCCAAAATATTCACCTCTTCACTTCGTCAAATTCAAAAATAATAATTTTCAAACAAATAAAAAAAAATTTCAAATTACCTTTGTATTTCATTTAAACTTGATAAGTAATGCGATATCCAACTCTGATGTGTATCTGTGTGTTGACATAAAATTTTAGGACCTCAAGTGTATTGTCTCCACCTTGTTTTCTACGGCTTCTAAGCCTACTTAGACCTCAAGTTGATAGTTTGTGCTTAATTATCTTCGGTCTCATGTTGGTACTCTTCACTTAGTTATCTATGGTATCTAAGCCTACTTTTGTACATTAAGTCGATAGTCTCGGCTCTGTTATCTGTGGTCTCTAAGCCCATTTATTCACTTCAAGTTGACAGACTTCACCTTGTTATTTATGGTCTCTTAGGTTTGTTGGCATGAAATTTATCGTTCCCATGTTATTATCTAAGATATCTAAGCCTATTTATTGACCGCAAGTTGATAATCTCCACCTTATTATACAGTCTCTAAGCCTTATTATCTTTGAGCTAATAGTTTCCATCTTGTTCCCTGCATTTTCTAAGCCTATTTATTGACTTCAAGTTGATTGTCTCCACTTGTTTTCTACGGTCTTTAAACCTATTTGTTGACCTGATGTTCATGGTCTTCACTTTGCTATCTGTGGTTCTCTAAGCCTGTTTATTACACGTGTCTTGAAATCTTTAAATATATTCTTTATCAAGCAAATACATGTGTGTTTTTCTAAATACATTATGTGATAACATTCATAAAGAAGTAGCTGTCTCAACAATAAAAAACAACAGTATTATTATTTTTATACATAATTCTTAGAAATGAAGTTTTTAACCGAATAACAATGGATTTCAGTCGTTTGGAATGACGTTTAAAAATGTGTTAAAATTTCTAATCCGCGTGACAAAATATTTGAGATCGTAATGATAGATGATAATTATCTTTAGCAACAATTTGCAACTGAAAATTCGTTCTCTGACTGGTTTCTAAACATTCGTGATTATTTTCTTCCTTCAGCAGCCTATTAATGTGCGATGAAACGGATCTGATCCTAATTACTGTCGAATAAATTAAGTATACAAATAATAGTTTTGGATCTTTAGAATGTGGTATCTATTAGATGAACAAACAAAATTAGTTGTAGCATACTCATACATAAAATAACAAAACACAAGGTATGTCCTACTGGAATACACAAGATAAGATTCAATATACTCTCTCATACATAAAACAACAAAAACGAAAACTATTGAATAAAACCTATTTAAACCAGTAAAAAGTATCGTCTGCTATAATTACAACTTTTTCAGCATCGTCTTCTAAATAATGTGTGAAAAATGTGTACCTTCTGTATCGACTTTTTTTTTACGAGCGATCATTCTCAAGTATACAAGTTTCATCGGTAAACCTTATTTAAGGTTAAAACTTGTGTAGTTGAGAATGACGCACTAGTGATTGAAATGTCGTACCTGTTCTAAAAAATAATCTTCCTTACTGTAAAATCTGTAACTTTTAATAAAATAATAAAAAAGGTGTTCGTTGAATTCTATCAGCACTTGATCGGACAGTTGAGGTAAATCCAGCAGTACAGTTAACACTTCTACCAATATGACAAGAACAACTAGAAGAAACAAGCCAGAACTGTCAGCGCAGTAAGTTCATCATGCTGTTAATAATTTAGCCTTAAAGTTTTGTAATTATCATATCTTTAAATGACCATTTATAAGTTGAAAACACTATACAGGTGAATAGCATTGTTACTAGAGCTTGACAGTATTTGTACACCTTCAGTGCAGCATATTATCACTGTTTTTATTTTATTTTCTATTGTTAAAGTTCTACACAATAGCATTGAGTGGGTGGATCTCTTTCATATGCATTACACTAAATACTTCATTGTTTAATATCATCACAATATCATTAGGCTAGAACACTTGTTTTGGTAACGTCATCTCGGACAATAGCACTAGACCAGAATAACGTATTAGGCCTAACTCTAAGGAGGTTGACTTGAAAGAACGGTAGTGGAGTATGAAACCGGAACTTGAAATACAAAGTCAGTGAACAACACTAGTTTGCTAAAAAATAACACAACCCTTTCGCAAATGTCAAAAAAATTCCAGAAACAAACTTCATTTGATCTGAAATATGTCACGCATATATTTGTATCACTAGGTGTTTGTTAAGCAACTACCAAAAATAAAAACATTATTATTTGTCTCGTTAAGGTCAAACAATTAATAATTGATACAGGAGTTAGTACACTATATTAAAATAAATTTGAAGCCACGCCCTTGATGCATATAGTTAGTCGTGATGAGGACTTATGCAGTCCTTGGTGCATATAGTTAGTCGTGATGAGGAGTTCTGCAGTCCTTGATGCATGTTACTAGTTGTGATGAGGACTTATGCAGTCCTTGGTGCATATAGTTAGTCGTGATGAGGACATATGCAGTCCTTGGTGCATGTAGCTAGTCGTGATGAGGACATATGCAGTCCTTGGTGCATGTAGCTAGTTGTGATGAGGAGTTATGCAGTCCTTGGTGCATGTAGCTAGTTGTGATGAGGACTTATGCAGTCCTTGGTGTATGTTGCTAGTCGTGATGAGGACTTATGCAGTCCTTGGTGTATGATGATAGTCGTGATGAGGAGTTATGCAGTCCTTGGTGTATGTAGCTAGTCGTGATGAGGACTTATGCAGCCCGTGGTGTATGTTGCTAGTCGTAATGAGGAATTCTGCACTTTTTGACGTATGTAACTAGTTATATGGAGGACTTATGCAGTCCTTGGTGTATGCTGCTAGTCGTGATGAGGACTTATGCAGCCCTTGGTGCATGTTGCTAGTCGTGATGAGGAGTTCTGCACTTTTTGACGTATGTAACTAGCTACATGGAGGAGTTATGCACTTTTTGACGTATGTAACTAGTTACATGGACGACTTAGTCATTTCTTGGAATACTCTTCCTCAGGAAAGAAGATTAAGATCAAAATTTTAAAAAGTAAACCTAGTTTATTCTACTATCTAAAACGTTACCATCTTGAGTGGTATATGGAGCTCGTGGTAATTGGTGAGTGATGTATGTTTCTTGTTGTTTGATAAGCTACATTAACGCCATCCGTAAACAGATAACTACCAAAATTAGATATCGTATCGGGTCGCTTCGACCTGACGGAGACCTGTGTAAGCACTTCAAAATGTCGTTTTGAAACATTGGTGAGAGGACGAAATTAATTAAAATCACAGAAAAATCAACAATTTCTTAAACACTAAATCATCAGATAATTAACAAGGACCTACTCACCACAAAAGGGGATACCAGTGGGCGTCCACGTACCGTTGTTGCCGCAGGTTCGTCGCGGCTGCCCGAGCAACTCGAAGCCCTGGTCGCAGGTGTATTTAGCCGTAGTCCCCGGTGCAATCACCTCCGTGTTGAATCGGATAGTGGAGTGTGCAGGGGAGCCTGGATACCCGCAGGCGGCTGTCTCTGTCCAGGAATGCGGTAGTAGTTTAATACAGTTAAAAATTCATACGACAACAGGGTAGAAGAAGCTAAACCATTCCACAAATAAATGTATTAAATATCCTTTCCTGCTTAATACACTGTTAAAGTAATCAATCAAAATCTGACATTTTGTATTTTCAGATACTAAAAACAAATAATTTCAGAGAATCTTTCAAATGTTACTAACACAATGAAACGTTCAATTTCAAACGTTTCGGAAGCATTACTTTGTACTTTTTAATTTGTATCGTATATTCGCAACAGGTGTGGGAATTTATTAAAATATAAAACCAAATAATTTTATTGTAAACTTAAAACTTAACATCGTTACTTTCAAACCTTCTTAACAAGAAAACCAGTCGTGAAGAACAGAACTGATAACGTTTTTAAATAGGGAAACATTGCACTTAGCACTAGCATTACACGGGGGTTAAACAATATAGATTGACTAATTCCGTCTTCCCCTTCGAACCACAGAAAATAATTTCTAAAACAAGTAAATAATCTTTAGTGTTTGCTGTCAAAATCGATATTTTACAAATAACGTAATTATGTTTATAATTACGCCATTAAACAACTCACCAAATAACTGTACTTGGTTAGTCAGAAGAAGGATGATAGTTAAGAAAACACACCCCATATCCATCGTGAAGTCTGTATTTCTGTCACTACTCGTTAACTGCTTGCCTTAACCCTAAAGATAACTCAATTCTCCGAGTCTCGGCTTGGGATGAATAACCCACTCGGGAACATTTCTCTGTGATAGGTCTGTGACGTCAAACACAATTTGACCAATCACAAGTTAAGAAACAGTAGCGAACTCGTAACATTCTAACTTCACATTTTCCTGATTTCGAAGACTGTGTGGGTGTGCCTCGGAAACAATAACAGCCAATAAGCGACGAGCAAAAAGTTGAGTAACGAAATGTAATAAAAATGTTTTGGTGCTAACTACAGCGTGCGGTCTACACAGATACTATAATCATCACCGTTTTAATAATTCACTAAAACTAAATTTCTTGTAAATGATTTATATTTATCAACGTATTTTTTTCAACAAGTAATAATAATAAATTATAAGTTGTGTGTTCCAAAAGAGCACCTTAAATTTAGATTATAATTGTGCTACTTTTGATTGTTGGAATTTATTTTATTCCGATTATATTTGTCCCCAAAAACCTTGTGTAAAGATATTTTGTACTTTATTAGTTTAAAAACGTTATTTATAATAAATGGGGCCAGTTGCAAATAAGCGAAAGTTAGGAACGGTGATGATGATAGTATCTGTGTTGACTGCACGCTATAAAAGCACCAATGTTTTCCAGGTTTCAGATCTGATCGGTACCGGGCGTGACGTAGTTGTTATTGTGTGTGTTTGTGAATACGTGGATCCATGGTTCGCGTCCTGTTCCTGCACAATTGCATTACACATGTTGAAGTCGTGTGTGTGATTTATAAAAGTGACGGTGAAACCCCATTGTTAAGTTAGACTAGCCCCAAAGTTGGCGGCGGGTGCTGTTGATTACCTGCCTTCCATCTAGTCCATTGGATCAAATTATGGCCGGCTAGCGCAAACATTCGAAACAAACAAACAAAAGTTATTTAGTTTCTACCATTTCTCAAAGTAAACACTTTTACTTAAACGTTATTTTAAAACACAACGATATAACTCCAAGACTATTAGTTTGTTTTATTATGATGCAAAAGTAAAAGGCAGAGTTAGGTAATAAAATGGAGTAACAGTCATTCTCCTGCTAGACGAACTATTTTAATAATAATTTCTAATTCCATTCGAATACTCTAAAATAAATAACCATGTAACTTGCTGTTCAAAAACATTAATCGTCAAACATCTTCAAATAAAACATTTTTATAACAGTATAGATACTGAATGTCTCCAGCAAAAATATTTCAACAATAGTAGACAAAGAACGTCTGATTATAAACATTTCTATAACAGTAGACAAAGAACGTATGATCCTAAAACATTTCTATAACAGTAGACAAAGAACGTCTGATTATAAACATTTCTATAACAGTAGACAAAGAACGTCTGATTATAAACATTTCTATAACAGTAGACAAAGAACGTCTGATCCTAAAACATTTCTATAACAGTAGACAAAGAACGTCTGATTCTAAAACATTTCTATAACAGTAGACAAAGAACGTCTGATCCTAAAACATTTCTATAACAGTAGACAAAGAACGTCTGATTATAAACATTTTTATAACAGTAGACAAAGAACGTCTGATTATAAACATTTCTATAATAGTAGACAAAGAACGTCTGATTCTAAAACATTTCTATAACAGTAAACAAAGAACGTCTGATCCTAAAACATTTCTATAACAGTAGACAAAGAACGTCTGATCCTAAAACATTTCTATAACAGTAGACAAAGAACGTCTGATTCCTAAAACATTTCTATAACAGTAGACAAATAACGTCTGATTCTAAAACATTTCTATAACAGTAGACAAATAACGTCTGATTCTAAAACATTTCTATAACAGCAGACAAAGAACGTCTGATGCCAAAACATTTCTATAACAGTAGACAAAAATCAATTTTCCATATTATCTAAGATTTTTGAAAGAGATCAGTCTACCAACAAGTATTTGTAAAAGATTAATCCACTAGGAAACTTCTGAAAAAAAAACACAAGTACACTTTTGGAAAAGATAATTCTACTGACAAAATTTCAAAAAAAGAACAGTCTACTAGGAAACTTTTAAAATTATCAACCTGTGAGCAAATTCCTAAAAAAAATCAGTCTTCCAAAATATTTTGGAACAGACATATCTATTATTATCCCTTTGTAAGAAAAAATAATCAATCTATCACCAACGACCATGAAACATTTAGAATAGTACAATCTACAAGAACAATTTTGAAAAATTAAATCCACCAGTTCAATCTACCAAAAAAAAAAAAAAACTTTGAAAACAAGATCAGTCTACCACAAAAATTGTGAAAAGATTACGAGCAAATTTTTAGAAAATATCAGTCTAATATTAAACGTTTGGAATAGAACAACCTTCCAGTAAACTTCTGGATTAGATCAGTCTACCAAAACACTTTTGGGAAAAAATCAATCTATCATTAAACGTTCGGTCTGGAATAGAACAACCTTCCAGTAAAGTTCTGGATTAGATCAATCTACCAAAACACTTTTGGAAAAAATCAATCTATTATTAAACGTTTGGTTTGGAATAGAACAACCTTCCAGTAAAGTTCTGGATTAGATCAATCTACCAAAACACTTTTGGAAAAAATCAATTTATCATTAAACGTTTGGTTTGGAATAGAACAACCTTCCAGTAAAGTTCTGGATTAGATCAATCTACCAAAACATTTTTGGAAAATATCAGTCTAATATGAAACGTTTCAAAAAGGTCAACCTATGACGAATCTTCCAAAATAGATCAATCTTCTAGAAAAACTCTTATTTAAAATATATATATATATATATATCAATCTACCAACAAACCTTTGGAAAATTTCCAGGAAACTCTTGGAAAAGGTCAGTTCACTAGCAAACATTTGAAAAATATTCATCTGCCAGCAATCATTTAGAAACTCAATGGATTTACCTGTTTTACTCATTATGGTAAATATTTTTGTGTGAGAATTTTAGCAAAGTTCTATTTTCAAATGGTCCCCTTCATGCATCTGGAAAAACGTCAATTCAAGACTAGCGTGAAAAACGGACAATAATTGTTTTTATAGAAGTTAAATAGTAACATGATCACACAGACCAGTTATTGAAATATATTTTACACCATGCGTTTTAGCTTTAATGCACATTCTCAGTTCACGCACTTTTTTATTTTTCCCGGGTAAACCTTTTATAAAGACAGCAGCAAAACGTTAAATTACTTCTCATTTAAAACAATTACAGACGAAATAACAATTCTTTCAACACTAATCTGTCAGTAGAAGGGATGCCTTGGGTAGAAAGAGGTATCCATACACCTTTAAAAATTCAGCAACGTTTAAAACACAGAGAACACTTATCCATGTTAAGAACGTTCGATCATTGGTGAAACAGGTTGTAGACTCTACAGGAGAGTATTGTAGCCAATAACGTTTCAATATTATTTAGTTAGTCGGTTATCATTTACAGGAGAGCACTGCTGCAAACAATAGCTTTTCAACAATCTATTAAAGCTTTCCAAGAGATTATGAGTTAAATAGTTAAATATTAGTTAAATTATTTGTTTTAATTTTTATATAATATTAAAGCAAGAACTTTAATTAAAAAATTTGTTTCTTTTTGACCTTTCTCTGTCTTTGTTGTCTGATAATTCACCGAACTAATATAGCAATGACCTGTGTGTATTTATTGTTCTCCTTTTTTGCCGCCAGGAGCCACACAAAAAAGAAAGATCATACCCTCTAAGCGACTGTTCCTTCAGCGGAAAAATACTTGTTTTTCTGCAGGTGAATAAACGAGATCGACCTTGTCTGCACAGACTGTATACGGAAGAGGCTTAGCCTACTACAAAAACCTTAGTAGCCTCTAGGCTACTCGGATGTAGGGAGAAATTGAAAAGAAACTTTCTAAACGGCTTTTGTTTACTGTTATGAACATTATTCAGCACACGTGTGTACTTGGAAGTGATATCCAGGCAAACACTTGTTTTGTCTCATATAGCTAGATTTTCACACCTAATCTGGCTCACTTCTGATTACATGGATTAAACCATTGTTAAATATATTGTGCGTCAACTAATGTAAACTTTTTAACATTATGGAAATACACATCATTCTAAACAGCATAGCGACCTGAAGTAGTATAACTTTATGAAATAATGAGCTAAGCCACCTGAGGTATGAAACAATGAGAGCTAAGCAACATAGCTATTTGAGGTAACATAGCTGTCATATATTTAATTACAGGTGAACTGTTTAGGATTTTTCTTTCTATCAGTCTCTAAAGTTAATCAGTTTAGTTGTTGTTTTTTCAAGTTAACTAAAACAGTCCGATGTTTATTGAAGTAAACACCAGTAACGCGAGTTGGTAACAGAAGCTGAACACTTTGGTTAATACTCACGTATGTTGAATGGTTCAGTGTTCGGTTCGCGTAATTTCCATGAAAATATAATAAAGTTATTAACCATATAGGTTTAGTAGTCTTTATTTTCTTGGTCATTTAGTTGTGCGAGTCTAGGTTCCATGTTTATCCAATATTCTGTTCTTGGTTTTCTCCCAGTAGGTAGACAACTATTAAAACTCAACAGGGTGACGGTTCCGGCACTCTAAGCATGAAGACAGATGAAGACATTCACACACGAAACCTTAACACATAAACCTTGCTTTCTGAGCGATGACAAATCCATTCCCCAAATACTTTGCAATGCATAGTACTTCCCTACTCTTAATTTAATTTTTGCATAGTTTAATGAAGATTGAAAAGATTCACATGCATTCTTCTTTGAATTATATAGATATCCCCTGTATTTTACCTTCTCAGTGTAAAGGTGTAACAGTACTCACATGTTATATACCCCACCTATTTCTTCCCGTGGTTATATTGGGAACATTGAATGTGTGTACCGCTACCATAAGATAGAGGGAACATTGAATGTGTGTACCGCTACGTGGTTATATTAAAAACATAAGATAGACTTTTTAATATAAACACGTA